GATGATCTTGATTTTGTCACCCAGCCTCGATTGATCAAGTCTTGCAGATACTGCTTAACTTCATTATGCAATGGTTTTGAGACTGCAACGTACGTCTTTTGCACTGGAGTCCTATCCTTGAGGGTGATATGCATTTTCAATGAAGGTATGCTCCCAACATCATTGTTATCCCTAGAAAAAGAATGGCATTCCTCTCTGAGCATCATCTTGACGGCAATTTGCTGCTCCTTTGTTAGGTGGTCCAGTTTTACCAGTGGGTCCCATGTTTCACCTTGCTCTTGAACTTTTGGCCTCAGCTGCAGCCCCTTAGCTTTTGCTCCACCAGTTGTGTGGTCACCCTGTGTGTCTTGGCATGTCTGATCCTGAATAGGGGTGCCTTGGTGATATGCCACAGATCTTACTGCTGCTGGATACACAGATTTCACCAGATGTAAGTGTCCTAGGGTGACCCGCTGATCAAGTATGATGCTGTGTTTGGTTGTGTTGATCACAGAGATTGGTATGCAGGATGAGTTGCCTCTACTCAGTGTCACCAGGACCTCATTGATGTGTAAACCCTCTGGCCATTGGGGCTTCTCTTCAGGGACAAACAGCATCACTTCATTTTCCTCCATCTATCCCAAATGAGCACAACTTCGAACCATTGTGGCTTGAGCTGGTGCACCACTCTGTTTGCCTGTCTTGACTGCCCCACCATCACTGTTCCGGTTTCCAGAAGACAATAGGTGAACGAGGACGTTTGTGTCTCCCGGAGTGATGGAGAAAGCCTCACCCACAACCCCCACTTTAATGGGGTCTGAAATTGGCTCTCCTCCTTCTACCAGCCCATTGATGACCTCCTCGATGACATTAAAACCAATAATGGGATCTTCTGCAACCCTGGGGTCACTGGATACCAGCATTGCAATGAGAAAACACTGACTGTTCCCCATATTACTGTTCAATCTGAATGCCACCTCTATCCAGCCTGTGAATGGTATTTCTGTTTGGTTAACTACCATTCCAGTAATTGTACCAGTTCCCAATAATTCTTCAACTGGTCTCACTATTGACTTAGGTAGATGCTTATTTCGCCATACGTCATTTATAATACTGGCTTGAGCTCCTGTGTCCCAAAGGGGAGAGGTTGATACGTGGTCCAGTAAACACTTCACCATGCACCTTTTCCCAATTAACTTTAACAGTCTGTTGTTGCATTTAGGCCTGAGAAAGCTAACCTTGCCAATGTTTGGATTCCTCTACTCTGTTGTCTTTTGACAGTTTCCTTCTGTAATGTGTTGATTGCTCTGCAGAGTACATTGTGCTCTTGCCAGTATTGTTTTTGGCAGGTATTCGAGCAGTACTGTACTGCGTGACAACCCTGGCACTTCTGCAGTCTTACAACATCATTCTCTTCACATAAACAGTGCTGACACCCTTGGGACTCTGGCATGTAGGTTACTGCTGGTTCCCCCTGCAGCAACCCTCGCCAGTTCCCTGCTCCTGTCAGGCTCGCCAAAATATGTTGCACACTCGAAATGAAGGACGTGGGCAAGTGCTCCAAATCGAGGGCAAACACATTTATTGTGGTAAATCCGTAAAATGCAACAGCACGAGTGTCACACACAGCGATCTTCAACCGTGTGACTTGTGTACCGGTGTGGTTAATTAATAACCCTGCCAGCCACCTACCGGCCCAACTCAAGTATAATATACAACAACCGCCATTCACCACTAAGTGGCGGTGACGTCACCACGACGCTTGTGCCAGGCTATGTGCACCCTGAGGCAACGTGAAGTGTCGAACGCCCGCTGGCAGGTCACGGGGCAGACCCAAGTGCCACGGGTCGACTGACTGTGATGACTGGCTGATGCACCACCTATGCCCCCTACTGTGCCAAACCGCTGTGCTTCAGCCACTAGGCGCTCCGCTCGTTGTAGTGGGCGTCGCTCCTCCGCCCTCTGTTGTTGTTGGAGGGCGACTACCTCCAACTGCGCAGTAGTGTCCTTCACGAGCCTCCTCCACAGAGGCCGATCTTGGCACTGCTGGTACCAGTCATCGGCAAGTCCACTCAGCTCCATGTCCTCCTGTACCACATCACTCCATCTCTTCTCTAGCCCGTACCACGCCCGTTTAGCCCCCTCAATCCGGCCGAACAAAAGCTGTTTCGGCATGCGGTGGCTGGGCATGCGGGCTACATGACCCAGCCATCGCAGACTTGCCCGCCAGAGGAGCTCACCAATGGGATCTTGTCCAGATCTTTCAAGGATTTGTGAGCTCCTCACACAATCCAGTCTGGTTAAACCCAGGATGGATCGTAGGCAGGCCAGCCTACATGTTTCTAACTGGCGAAGATGTTCCATTAGGGGGGTCCACGTTTCGCAAGCGTAGAGAAGGGAGGGAATGACCGTGGCCGAGAAGACCTGAAGCTTAGTGCGGAGCGATAGACCAGGTAGCTTCCACACAGCGTTACGCAACCGATGAAAAGATATTGCCGCTCGACTGATTCGGAGTGAGACCTCTGCTGTTAAACTGGAGCCGGTCATAAGCACACTGCCCAGGTATGGGAAACTCTCCACTCTCTCCACAACTGCCCCATCACCGATTGGGAGTTGGGGGGGTGGAGTGTCCGATGGTACAAAATACCCAGGCAGGTGCTTAGTTTTGGTGGGGCTGATGGTAAGGCCCCACCTCTTAGTGGCACGCTCCAGTCTCAGCAGCAGCATCTCCAACTCCTCCTCTGAATGAGCAGATATTACCAAATCATCAGCATACATAACGTGGTTGAGCAATAGGGAGCCATCCCTTGACCGCACCCGGGCATCGATCAGCCTCCCATTATATCTGTACCATATGGAGATTCCCCCGGTACAGCTATTGAAGGCTTCACGAACTACGTGGTCAAAATAGATGTTAAATAATGTGGGAGCCAGAGGACATCCCTGTCGCACCCCAAGGTGTACAGGGAATGGCTCTGACTCTCGGCCACGTAGTTTTACCCGGGCCCGCTCACCATCATGAAGGTCCTTAATGATCGTGAGCAGAGGGTCAGGTACTCCAAAAGCACGAAGAACAACCCAGAGCCCAGGCCTACTGATGGTATCATAGGCCTTGACCAGGTCAATAAAGCAGAGATGTAGGTCTTGTTGGAATTTCCTACACCTCTGCTGTAGCAGACGGACAGAAAATATGGCATCTGTGCAGGACCACCCTTTCCTGAAACCGCATTGGGGCTCCGCAAGCCTCTCCTCAGCATGCCTGCCAAGGCAATGTTGAATAATCCTTGCCAGGACCTTTCCCGGCCAACTGAGGAGTGAGATGCCCCTGTAGTTGTTATAGTCTGTGCGGTCCCCCTTCTTAAGCCTCCTCATTCTCTGACGTGGGATTCTGTAGCCGATGACAGTGGGACTGTCGCTTTTTCTCAACCATCCTGAACACCTCCTCTGTCAGCCAGGGTCTCTGGGGAGGTCTGGACCGCGTACCCAAAGCAGCCATTGCAGCTGCATGAGTCACAGTCCTAAACCTCGCCCATTTACCCTCGACATCAGGAGGAGTCGGGGACGATGCCAATCCCAGCCGCAAGCAATGATGCAATTCTTGCTTGCAACTTTCATCAGATAACTGAGACCAGGCCACTTTAGGTTGGAATGGGGTCCTGGGTGTACACCCACCACCGGAGTGGAAGAATGGCAGGCGCATCTTACAGATGACTAGTCGATGGTCAGAGGGCAGATCAGCTCCACGGTAGGTCCTGGTGTCAAGGATATGGGCTCGCATCCGCTGGTCCGTCACTATGTAGTCCAGCAGATGTTCTTGCTTGGACCCGACATGCATCCATGATGTTGTGTGGATGCGCCGATGCCGGAACAGCGTGTTGGTAATAACAAGCCCATGGGCTGCACAAAAATCTAGCAGCCTCCTACCGTTGTTATTGAGCTGATCTGGCCCATGCCCTCAAATCACTCCAGACCAGGTGCCAGCATCATGACCAACTCGGGCATTGAAGTCACCCAACATGATGACTCTATCCCGAGGGGCCACTTTAGCCAGCACCTGTGACAGGTCATAGAAGGCATCTGACTCATCGGCTTTGCCTGCAAAACAACCCCCTACCTCCTCGCGGTGCCGGACGGGCAACTCTGTCGTGGACAGTGCTGTGGAGGGAGTTCCAATCTGGATTGGCTCCTCCCCTCATGGCATGTGTCCACCACAGGGGCTAAACGGGGGCTCTGGACGGCAGCGAGGGGCTGGTAACCCCTCCACCTTCAATTAATTACCATTAAACCGCGAAGTATAATATGCTGGTGTGCACACGCGCATTGCTGTACTGCACAGCACATAAGGACTTTCACAGTGGTCCATTCCTAATGTGCAACATGACCTTTGAAGTCTCCTGTGACCATGGTGCAGTGTTGTTTCGCTATCAATTAAGAGTTGATTAGTCTTTTAATGCATTTGGTATATATTTGTGTTATCATTCCATTATAGTGATTTGAAAATTTTCATTGTAAGTAAATAGGGAAACATGGCATTTGAAATATGATCATTCACAACAAAAATCCAGTCATTCACAACAAAAATGTCTTCAAAGCTGCTTTTAGATGTAGCTTGTGTTGATGCGTGTAGATTTTTTTTATTTTAATTTCTAGCAGTCTGGCACCTTGCATTGCACTAAGCAAGCCTGTTGATGATACACTGAAAGTCAAAGCTGGTCCTCAGTTTGCTTGTGTTAAACCAATACCGCTGAATGAAATCGCTCCCAGAAGGCCATGTTGATGTTTAAATAAAATTGTTTTTTTTATGTGGAGAGACTGAAGGGGGAAGGAGAATTATCTGCTTATTGATTTTGTTCACTTAACTTCTCCGCAATGTATGTATGTTGAACTTATTTAGCACCACACATAGCCAACCGTGCTACTCAGAGGCGCAATGACGCGAATTACTGTTTTGGTTTTAAGCACAGGGTTGAGGGACCTCGCATGTCACACTGCATTATTAATCGTGAGTGTTTGTGCTTCAGGTGCAAGGGGAGTGCCGGCAGTGGCCCTCTCTGCCTCGTGTCTGCCTCTGCTCAGTATCGCCACCGCCTGGCTGACGCTTCGGTGATGGGAGGACCAACACCAACGGTTTCCTTATCGGACGAGTTGGTGATTCACAATGTCAAGCATCCGCATGAATACCTCTGACCACCTGGTGGAACTCTATATGAGCAGCAATGTATTATAATGGAATGAAAAAATAAATGTACAGCATCAATACCTCTCACGTCACGGATTAAGCATAATTCCGAGAGCATGTGTGGGTTTGCAAGAAGAAAAAACGGGAAATCTGAGCAAAGGAACATCAAGAATTTAGTGCAAGCAGGGCATTTTATGCCTCTTGTTTAATGCACCGTAGATACCCCTATTGCCTTCTGGTTATTGCAAATGTTTTATAAGACTGATAGACACAAGATTACAAGAACGAGTGATATCAAAGCACTTTTATGCAACGCTCCATCATTCCGGTTGGTTTAGTTTTCCTAATTATTGTTGTTTGCAAAGTGAAGCACAGCATTTTTACCGTCATTACATAATTTTTAAAAATATATTTGCTATTACCATCTGCACGATACACATTTTGTAGTGTGTCCCTTTTTGTATCCATCATTATAGAGTACTGAACCCACGTTTAAATTTGCAAGAGACTTACCGTGTCCATAGGCTGTCGTCTGTTAAGGGTTGCCGAGTGTGCAGGACGGGCTTTGACCACTCTGTATGCACATCACGTGTCCAAGACTGCCAATGTACACCTGAAATTCTGCACTTGAGAGGCAAACTGGGCAGAATTGTAACACTCTCAACCCCACTGACTATAAGGTGGCCAGGAGATAGCAAGTACATTTATTTTGTTTGTGCATATATTGAGTGTTATCCCCTCTTATGCTTGGGTTTTCTCTAGATCTTGGCCAAATATATTTCAATGTTTCCTTCCTGAAAAATGAGCCGTTTCCAAATCAAACGATCGCATTATTACTACTACTACTACATCAGAAGAGGCTTGAGAAGCAATGTGTGGTGGTATTTAATTCTGACAAGACTCACGACTAGCTTGGCATGAAGCTTACACATGTTCTCTTATCATTTTACCTGCAGCGAGGGCTTTAGACAAGGCAAGGCAGTGAAATTAACTGAAAATTGAGCTGCATGTATTTATCGCCATATAAGTCCACTTTAAATGTGTGTACGTACAGTTTTGAAGCAAGATTATGGCTTACATCTTACAACGTGAATTGTATAATGCCCATATAGAATGCATGTCACACAATTTGTTAATATACACTCTTACGGTCATATTTATACTGTATACCACAGTAACACTTTATATCAATCGTGCACTGACAAACACAATCCTCAACAGTTCTTCATGGTTATGTCTCCAGGCGTGTTGCTCCTTCTGGGCATTGCAGTGGCCTATCTGCACACCTTTCCACGCTCCACGCATGTCCATGTGAAGAAAAGCGATCCTGTTGACAAGTAACAACTCCTGTGTGGCAGTTAGTATTCAGCGCAGCTCAGGCTGGGCTAATGCGTGCATTTTCTGTGACCATTTTAAATACTGCTGTTTGTGAAATGGTTGAAAATTGATTCTGTAAAATGTATTTTTTACTTCACTACCACATATGCTAAGCTGATTACATTATAGTGGCACGCAGTTACATAAATTAATTCATTATATATATGAAGTGGGCTCAAACGAGCAACGGAAATGTGGGTATATTATCTATAATAGAGTCTTCGATTCTCATAGAATAAAGTACATGTGTCTAGGCAGCGTCTAAGCCTGGAAAATGTCTTCAGAAAGTGTCACGAGTCATTGAATAATCAATTTAAGTACGCTCAAAAAATGAATGAACTCGCATATATTTTCCTAGTTGTAAAGCACACATCACTGCAAATTACCGAGGTCAGACATTTTCTGTGGTTTTCCCCACGATACAACGCATGCAGTACAACATAGAATACTGGAACGAATTCCAAAGTGCCTAAACTCACCAAACCAGAAAGCGACTTTCTCGCTTCAGGGGGTGACCAAATGACGCACTCACTTGCTACACTTCGTGAAGACATGCGAACACACTCGGTGCCATCGTTACACATCGATAAACACACATACACAGAGGAAAGTATGACAATGTATATAGTTCTGATAAACCTGAACAACACCAAATCACGCTGTAATATTCAGAAAATGTGTACAATTTAGTTCGTACGTTTCTAAATAAAATATACTAAATTCTACGCGTACATAAACAGCTCACAAACTCATGACATTTCCACGCACTTGTGAAAATGTTACCCAAACACAACATTTTATATAATGTATGGTGCAATACAAACAAAACTTTTCTATTTTACCAGGTGAAGCCCACTGAGCTAGAATGCTCTTTTTGAGAAACGATCTGGCCACAAATGATAGCTCAACAAAGTGTCTTAAGTGGAAATGTATAGAAGCCAAATATTCAAAACACATGTTTCTAAATGTGGAGGGAAAAACCGGAGGTCCCGGAGAAAAATCTACGCGACCACGGGGAGAACATGCAAACTCCAAATATTTCCAATAACCTAGTAAACTTGTTGTACATGACTTTTATTTTGCTCACATGTATCTTGTTTTTCTAACACATCTTGATTTGAAGCTTTCGTGACTGCAGGAATCCATACTCTTTGGTTCTTTCGGTAAAGTCACATAGGTTGAAATAAAAAATAAAAAATAACATCACCACGTTTCGATCGCAACACAAGCGGTCGTCCTCAGGCGAAAAAAATATTCCAGCAGTGGAACTGCTGAACCATGAAGAAACACAGTGAGAGAGCTGTTACAACAAGACATTATATATGTGGTGAAGGGCAAGCAGGTGGGGTCTGAGCTGGAAAGGAATTCTATCCCCGCATGCAAGCACGTCAGTTGTGTTAATGGGGGAGATTAGGGAGAGAGATTAGCATGAAATGAGCTTCTGTCGCCGCATAAGAGCATCATCCCCGCATATGCGCACTACAGCAGTGTTAATGGGAGATTAACACGATGTTGATGGGAAAGATTAGGCAGAGAGATTAGGGGGTTTAGCAGGTTAATGTCATGTCTATGTGTAACACAAGCTGCGGCGCTACCAACTGCGCTGTGAGAGGCAAGCGCGCCCATGCAAGAGAACCACCACAACGGTGGTTGTGCCAGTGGGACACACAGCCCATTACACAGCCAGAACCATCGATACATCGAGGCGAAGGGAGCAGAGGTGGTCATGTTAGTGAGACCCTAGCCAGTTAATGCAGAGGCACCTAACAGGGCAATGCAACTCAGAGAGTGGGAGATAAGAGCCAAACGGCAGGGAAGAATGGAAGGACCACAGTAAGTTACGACTTTGCTTGGTTAATAATGTCCTTCCAATGATTGCTCAGCTTATACCCATCTTCTCAGTTGAAATTGTCTATGTGTTTATATATCTGGATGGCTTCATGGACAAATCTTTGATGGCAGCCCGAAGGTTGGAGAGTACCTTGGTCTCGAAAAAAACAATATCGTGCGAGCCCACTGCGTTATAATAATGATCAGCCACGGCAGAGGTATTGGTTCTGCCGTGTTTCAAATCTGCCTTGTGTTCGCGAACACAGTCCGAGACATGTCGTTTCGTTTTCCCAATGTAACTGCTACCGCAGACACAACTTAGTTTGTAGATACCAGAGTATTGCATGTCAGAAATGAGATCCTTGACAGATGGGATCAAATAACGGATTTTGTGTACTGTATGCAATCGGACCTGGATTTTGTGTTTGTTTAAGATTTTGGAAATATTTTTGGTAACACCTGCTATGTATGCAAGGTGATGGTTTTGATTGGGTCCTTAGATGGTTGTCTCCCCATGGTTGGGGATACAGCTTTGCGGATTGTGTGGTCTGAGTATCCATTCATCTTGAGGGCTTGGTGTACGTGCTGCAGTTCACTGGCTCGGTGGCACTGGTCGGAGATGCAGCGGTGTAGTGTTTTGATGAGGGAGTTCTTCTGGTCCGGATGGTGGTGGGAGTCAGGCTTTAGATAGGAATCCGTGTGGGTGGCTTTCCTGTAGACGGAATGTCCCAACGAGCCATCAGGCCTCTTCTCGATCAAAACATCCAGGAATGGTAGCTTGCCATCATTTTCCACTTTCATGGTGAATTTGATGGATGCGTGTATGGATTTGATGTGGTTGAAAAATTGGTTCAGTGCTGGCTGGCCATGTGGCCAGATGACGAAAGTGTCATCCACGTATCTCTTCCACAGGGAAGGACATAGGGTGGATGTCAGGATGGCAACACAACTGATGTGCTTGCGTACGGGGATGGAATTCTTTTCCAGCTCAGACCCCGCCTGCTTGCCCTTCACATATATAATGTCTTGTTGTAACAGCTATCTCGCTGTTTTCCTTCCTGGTTCAGCAGTTCCACTGCTGGATTATTTTTTTCCGCCTGAGGACGACCGCTTGTGTTGTGATTGAAACGTGATATATATTTGATTTGATTTCTAACACATCTTTAGTGTGTTCCCACTGGTTGTAGGATGACTGAGTCAGCAAATCGTAGACGGTGAATGTTTTCTCCATTAATATTTATGCCTTTGTTTCTCCAATCCAATTTTATATGTATAAAAAACACCGAATATATCTGTGAACAGCTTTGGCAAAAGCGTGTCACCTTGTCTGATATGTATTTTGGTACATGTAATCTCGATGTAACTTTTATTTTATAAAGCTTTATATATTTTTTATATACTAGCACTGCCCGCACAATTTGTGCGGGATCCACAACCGGGAATGGATGGTGGTGGGTGGCGGGAGGAGTGATGTTGGCGTGATGCACAAACCTGGCTCTACACTGTGGGATACGGGTGATGTCACAACCGCGCACTTGCCCGCCCTTCGCACCAGCCAGACAGCAAAACTTTTATATTTTTTTACCTCGCCCTTGCTTTGTGAAATCTTGAATGACTACATAAATTATCAATTCGTCAAATGCCTTATATTCATAGTCTACAGAAGCTAGGCAGAATGGTATGTTTGATTCATATTTTTTCCCCAGAATCTGATTGATAGTATGTGGTCAACAATATCATCTCCGTGACCAATTTATATACAAGATGGGTATTGGTCTGTAGTTATTCAAATCAGGTTTATCACCCTTGTTGAAAATAAGACTTCTACACCAATATTGATACTATCATGGTGGGAAAGTGACTGAGGATCGAGTTTGAGACTGCAATACCAAGATATACGACTACTTCACGATGGTGTGTGCAAATTAGTAAAGATACTGGCAAAGGGCATCACGGTTTAATGATTGTATGGTAGATGCAGACCTTTTCTGATTCTCCAACCACCTGACTAAGTTTAATACGTAGGCTTTCGCGACCAATGGTATCCATAAGAGGTTTTTTGGGCTAGATCGCATAAATATAAATGTGTCGTTAAATCCGCTACCACCCGACACAGCCAATCAGTAAGGTTTGTCACGTAAAGTAAATATGCCAATTTGTTACCAATTCAGCACATGGGTGAGTTGGAGAGTAAACCCACAACATTTACAATTCGAGTACAATGTTTCACCGGTAATTATAACCAGCCTCATCAGGCAATAACCATCATTGTGGCAAAATCCTGTTTTAAATAGGGGGATACATGTGACGTCATCACTGTGAGCCAATCAGGTGCGAAGACCAGAGGGGGGTGAAATTCATAAATTACAATGCATATCTATTATAGATTAACATGACGCACATAGATGTACTGAACTAGTAACGAATTGGCATGTTTTGTTTACTGACCAACTTTACCAATTGGTTGTGTCGGTTGTTGGCAGGTTTAACGAAACATATTTACTCGATTTAACCCAAGAATATCTATCACCTGACTATACACCACAAATTGAATTGTAAAGTAACCAACATGTGATCTAACCATTTACCATATATATGACGTTGAATATCCAAGCCTATTATAAATGTGTATTGGAATTAATTATTTTTAATGTGTAAATGTTTCGATTTAAAGCTTTCGTGACTGCAAGGGTTCATCTTCTTTGGTTCTTTCGGTAAAGTCACATAGAATGAGAATAAAATAATAAAATAAAACAATACAATTCTCAAGACGTTTCGGCCACAACACAAGTGGCCTTCTTCAGGTGAAAGGAACAACCTGTCGGTCGACAGAGCTACAATTGGTTTATGTGTTCTGCTAATGCCAACACATTTTTCTTCCTCCACATTTAGAAACATGTGTTAAAGAGTATTTGGCTGCTATGAATTCCACATGATAAGCAACTTTGTTGAGCTATCATTTGTGGCCAGGTCGCTTCTGAAAATAAGCTGTGTAGCTCAGTGGGCCTCACCTGGTAAAAAAAAGAGATTATGGACAAATTTTATATGACACCATCCGTTTACGCAAGCAAACTCTGGACCAGTTTTGATATTGTGGGTTCATCAGCAATGCCAGCCCCATTAACAAACTGCTGTTTTGATAAGTGGAAGTCATCCAATTAAGCTACTCGATGTGTGTGAACTCCGGTATAGTTAAGCAGGATTCACTGGAATAACAAGTGACTGGAAATATCATGCAGCACATTGTGTTTCCTGCATTTGAACGTCTTGGCGGTATGCTGGTGGAGCACGGTATAAAAAGCACATTTTTCGCAATAATTTATTTTTCCATGATTCGCATCTCCTGTCGTGATGTCGAAGCAGTTGGAAGACGAATGTTTATGAGCGGCTGAACACTAAGCTTGACAGTCTGTTGCCGTATAGCGGCACC